TCAATCAACCTTGAGTGAGTTTTTTTTTGCCCTGCCTCAACAGCACTGGGAGAATGATTGTGATGACGAGTGCAAACTGCATGTATATATGATAAAGATAACTTGGATATCTAAAGTGTTTTCATTATGAGAATATATTTTTTGTAGATGAGACACTTATTCTTGGTTATTGACATGTCTAAGTCAATGGAAGAAGCTGACTTAAAACCTACTAGAATAGCATGCACTGCCAAGGTAAAAATCAGAGCTCCACTGCCTGAGCACAGTATAACAAAACTGTACAAATTATAGCTCCACTGCCTGAGCACAGTATAACAAAACTGTATAAGCCATCTTTTCACAGAGTAATAGTTTATGTTGAGATCAAAAGGCTTCATGTTCTTAGCATTGGTTTTATATTTTTTGACACAGCTTCTAGAAAATTTTATAACAGAGTACTTTGATCAAAATCCTATATCACAGGTAAGGGAACATTGAAGTTGTTTATTTCTTTACTAATAATTATAGCTTACATGATCCACAACATACAATTATTTCTATTCAATATGTTCCAAACAATGTTTTCTATCGTTTCATTTCAGCTTGGAATTCTTATAACAAAAAATAAAAGAGCTGAAAAATTAACAGAATTAAGTGGTARGTTATTTAATGTTTTCATTCAAAATGTCTTGTTCAGTACAGGTTTTTTTAGCTTCCTTGTTTTGACATTTCTAGAGTGACTCAATATCTGACTTTGATTGAAAATATCATGGCTCAATCCTCCTCCCTCTCCTGTCCCTCCCCTCCCTACAGGCTTTTAGATTTTTACACTATGGTCAAGTGATTGTTATCAGGTTCTGTTTTTTTTTTGTTAGATGGAAAAACTAAGAACTGTGGTGTGATTATTTGTTAGGAAATCCTAAATTACATATTAATGCTATCAAAAAGAGTTGTGTTGTTAAAGCATGTCAAGGAGAGCCTTCTTTACAGAATACATTGTCTCTGGCTGCACAGTCTTTAAGGTAAAATAAACAATCAACAAGTAACATAATAGTGTGAATTATATCATCTTCCTATGCATATTGTAGACACATGCCAGGTCATTCAAGCAAAGAAATATTGATATTATTTGGAAGTTTGACATCCTGCGATCCTGGTGACGTTAATCAAACAATACAGGTACCTGAGCATTGGTTTATCATCAAATTTATCATGATATATCAATAAACAGTAACATCTTACTGCTACTCTAACGTTGGTGTAAAGTTAATGATACACTTAAAATTTTTTCCTTCATTTTCATGGTTGAGTTTGTTTTAATGTAGCCTCCTTTGCAGACATTATTAGTATCAGTCATACGTTCCCATACTAAATAACGTCTGCAAAGGAGGCTAGTTTTAATTGCCATGGACATTATTGTGAATGTTGGTTGTACTAGTTTTTGTTGTTTTCCAAGACTGTTTTAGGTCAAAATATAAGATGTTCAATAATTGGACTTGCAGCTGAAATGAAAGTTTGTAAAACCATATGCCAGAAAACACAAGGTACTGTGTAGTCTTTACAACTTACTGGTAATAGAATGTATTTCCTGGTAAAAAGTACCGTAACATAGTGACATGGTCATTTAGGGACATACAGAGTCATCCTTGATGAGAGTCACTTCAAAGAACTGCTGTTACATCATGTTACACCTCCTACTGCAAAGGTAATTTAACACTATACTTGATCGACCTTTAAAATCTTGATTGATGTTTAAAACTTGGTCTACCCTTTTAAGAAAATTTCCTGTAATTATATGAATTGAGTGGAATTTTCCATTTGTTTCTAGGCAGATACTGAGGCAGCCCTGATTAGAATGGGTAARTTTAATTACTGGCTAAAAAAATCTTGTATAATCTACTGACACTGTTGATTTAAAAAAAAACTATGAATCACTATTTCAGGATTCCCACAGCATGTTGCGAAGGGACCTCCATCATTCTGCATGTGGTAAGTGGTTAACTTGTAGTTCTAACTGCAGCCACATTAGAATTTAAATTCATGTTATTTCTCTAGTCATTTAGACAGCACAAATAGCAGTAGTGGGATGAACACACATGGGTACTACTGCCCTCAGGTATAACACATTGTTTTTTAATAATACAAAATGTACACCGTCTACATTTGCCTCAAGGTGGATTTCTTGTGACAGTAGAGTGGTCAATTATCATTTTATCCYAGTTTATTTTTATCCTAGTTTTATTGCTATACTTTTTTGCCTTCATATTACATTTATTTGCAAATCAACTGATACCTTTAATTATCTTTACTAGTGTAAAAGCAAGTACTGTGATCTTCCTGTTGAATGTAAAGTTTGTAGTAAGTTCACGTCATTTGATAKTTGTTAGCCATGAGTATCGGGCCTTCAAGGGGACCTGGGGATAGGGTGAGAGGATATATAAAGGATGACCTCTCCATTTTTCCCTCTCCTTTCGTYTTCTTACAGAGAGCCCTATAGTGAAGTTGTTTAGCTCCTTTACATACAGTATTGCTGTTAAAAAAGCTAGATTAGTGACTGTCAATCACATTCACATTCAGAAGCCACTCCATGATTCTAAACAAACTCTTCAGAAAGTTGATAAATTGCTAATCAATGCCCATAGCTCCTTTCGGTTACACAGACATCAATCCGGGCATCAATACAAAAAAATTGTGGCTGTATTCATTATTGGGTTACTCGTGCCAAAGTCATGCTTTCTACTGTTTTTGTAGGTTTAACGTTAGTATCAGCGCCTCACCTTGCTCGTTCTTATCAACATTTGTTCCCATTTCCACAATTCGAAGAAATCTATTTACCCGTGACCACAGAAACCAGGTAAAATTACAAATACGACATSTACACTGATAGCTTAGACTGTTTCGCTTTCTTTTTCTCTCTATAATGAAGGAAATATTCACATACTAAGACGAAACATCGGCAGTAACGTCGGAAGATAGTCTAGCGTGTTAGAGATGAGTTGATTTTAATAAAAAAGGAGGKYGTGGCCGTGGTGTAACACGGGAGACCGCTGTGTTCTGGTGCCGATTACCTCCCCACCCCACYCCTTCACGCGTTCTKTTGTTACTGTTATTGAAGTGTGAAAGTTGTTCTTTGGCCTAATCTTTAAGATTTAATAAACCCATACCCAAATGACTCGAAACTTTTTGCACGTTGTTTATGTCTGCTAAATAAAAACTCACAATTCACATACGGTGTGGTTTCTCTATCATCGTTTTATGTGATGCTCTGTATGAGAATTCCTTTTGAACCATTCAGACGTTTTTTTTGTTAATAGGCAATGTGAAGCTTGTCAGATCGTTCTCAAAGAGAAATCGGTAAGTACATTGTGAACATGTGTAATATGTAAGTGATTTCCAAGTCTATCCCACATGGTGCAGCGCCCGCCATATTGACTGTTAGAASCAGTCTTGTTTAAAGCTAGTCTRTAATGTTTGACAGGCTTCAACATGTACTGGATGCAAGCAAGTGTTTTGTCTTGACTGTGATGCCTACATCCACGAGTCTCTTCACGCATGTCCAGGGTGTGTAGCCAGTAATGATTGTAAATTATAACATTATATATTAAAGCAATTTATCATATGTTCTATTTTTTTTTATTTATTTTCCTACTAGACGTCCCTTTATCACAAGTTACAGGGTCTTAAAAAGCCGTGAACTTTTATTGTGCTGTTTCAATCAATTTCAACAATTTCTCTAACAATAGGGACATTTTTTTTGCGTAAATTGTTATTAGCTCTAGTTCCTTACATCTAGCGCAGCTCTAACATTCAGTTTTAATCAACTATAATGGGCCTATTTTTAGTGTTTTTACTTTTAAACAGCCTAGCTAGACATCTTTCATCATTCCAAATGTATTTGAGACACTATATGTGTTTTTGTTGTTTTTGATGTTGTTGTATTTACCAACTTCTAACTGTATGTTTTCGTGTTCCGTATGCGTATCTAATTGTTCAGCTGTAACCTACAAGATATCTTCAAGGATTTCTATACTACAATTAACAGTAATGTAGCCATGATCATCAATACAAAGATACTTTGTGCCGAGGGCTTGTAAGCCTGCCCCTTGGGTGGTTTATGTGTCGTAGATACAACTGTGGCTACAAAAGAAGACAATCTTTACTGTCAGTACAGTTGAAAATGCTATTTTTTTTAAGTCTGGGATTTGCCTCAGTGCAGACGTTCCTAGTAATAACAACTGCACGCAGGCTAGTCTCGGTAGGGTATCCTTTTTGACATTGTTTGGGAGAGGGGTAAGTTTTGGTCGGTCTGGAATAAGCTACTTTTCCGTCGACACAGAAACAATAGGAACACTAGAGCCAGGTAGCACCGCTCGGAACGGGTCTCATGATAGGTTGAGACAACAATGGACAAACAATAGATAAGTCTTTCAACAATATAACAAAACCTAACCTAACAATAGTGGTGCTGTACTTAAGGAGCAATCAAAAAGCAGGTTTCAATTGGTACTGCATTACTGGATGCTAATGCCGAACCATAAAAGGAAGCTGTGAAAATCAGCTCTAGAAATTCGTAAACATTGCAATTATTTTTCATGTTTTAAAAACACTTTACTTACGTTTTTCCCTAACGGCGAACCGAGCTTCCATACCGGCGTCCATGTGATCGTTCACGTGACAGTGCAGCATCCACACACCAATGCTATCAGGAACCATTTTGACCGTCGCAAAGACTCCTGGGAATAGGTCGTACACATCACCACGCATGCCCTCGGGGTGATACGATGAGGATTTCTGAAAGTAATCCATGATATACGTGTTATTAYTTGTAAATGATTAAACGGCAAACTGATTTCTTGTTACCTGGACAAACGTCTGTCCATGGAAGTGCACGGTATGCATGTCTACTTCATTACCCAACCCCAACAAGTACCAAGACACATTGTCACCATAAACCATTTCCAAACCAGGGATATTCCCAAACACAAAGCCATTAATAACATGCATCTTGTTGCTTTCTTGGAAATCTTCGTCGTCTTTGTCAACTAACATGATAAATTGAAACAGGTTAAAAACAAGTCAACTGTCACACAATTAGGCACCAACAATTATGGCAGAAACACGGCACTTTTCTATTAGCATTCCGTTCTACTTCTGATTTCAAGTGAGAGAGCAAGAATAGAGTCTAGTTTACCTCGTGCAGTACAATATTTCTTAATGTTATCGTCGAGATACCAACTCTTGTTCTCGTCCATGACAGTGAAAAGTAAAGCAAAATCCTCGTTGACATCTTTTGGCTTTCCTTCTGCTGTTAAAGTGCCCTGAAAAAAATAATAACAAAATTAACTATCAGAAACCAAAGATACGAAAACAAACCGAGAAATGCAAGCATTAAAACTGCAACCAAGCGAACCAGGCTGCACATAAACAGCATTACAAACAAGTAAACAAGGCACCAGGCAAAACATTGGAGAGCCATGCATGCAGCCATTTGTCTAAAGTTGTAAATAATATAATCCTCTGTGTCTATATGGCAATTAGTCAATTTTAGTATCTATCTTTTTTCTCTATAAATACCCTTTTACAGACAATAAGGGGTCCCACTAGGCCTGTATTGGCATCTTTGACGGAATCCACATCAGAATAGTAAGCCCACGTCAAACATCTTGTGTCCTGACTGTCGGGTCCTGCTCGTTCTGGTACAGACCAAGTATACGTGTACTTAGTGCTTGGCTTGATTCTGTTGTCGTTTTTAGCGGCGCCATTACTTCCATCCATGTAGTCTGAACCTTCGTTTAACTTACTGGAATAGAAATACGATAACTCTCAACTTGTTRTGCTACATTGTTAACTATGGATTCGGAGATTACGTTTCTCGTTAATGTCTAAAAACTGGAAACTTGTCCCGCAGTGGCGGATCCTGGATTTTCCTCAGGGAGGGGTGCGGAGCTCTCAGGAGGGGGTGCACCCAACAAAAATCATTGCTGATTGAAGATACTCAGGGGGGAGATGGGGGGGTCAACCCCCGCACACACTGAGCTGGATCCGCCCCTACATCATCATCATCATCATCATCTGTTTTCTCGGCATTTAGGCCTCAGCCCATGCGAYAACTGCGGCCGACCCCTAATCTACCATGCACCTACCATGGGTCTAATGCAAGCGATAAGGTAATAATAAAGTAACATCAAGAGACATACTTATTAAACACGCCATGTGGATGCACTGAATAGTCACGTGAAGCCTTGTTCTTAAACACAATCTCAATAATATCGCCAACCTCGGCGTACACTATAGGTCCCAGTACTCCAAGGTATTTGTCGCGGTCGGTTCGTTTCTTTTCCTTGGTAAASGTATCATCGGTGAACTCACGGTAAACAGCCTTCTTGTATACACGACCTATTCGATTGTTGCTATTGATGGTGAATGTTTTAGCGTGCCTGGAATATTAATCATATTATTTCATGGGTTATTAAGACTAGTCAGCAGGATGGGGTTCAATTCTTTTACGGCCAATCTTACATGTGCCCAATTCAACGCAAATAATTAAMCTCAGTGAATGGTTACCCTTTTTCTTTACGATCGAACACGTTGATTCAAGTAAAATGCGATAGGAAAAGCAATGGTGTTTTCCCTTCGCAAAAAAGGGCGAGAGAAGTGGCTGGTTACGAACGACTATAGCATGATTTCATACCGTAGGARACTGGGTACTGCTAATTCGATTAATATTCATTCACCTGAATTCAGACTATTCTATATTATAAAGTTTATGTTCATTGAAATAGTAAATGATCGTGATGAATTATTATCAATAGGGTATAGTTATATGTTAGTAACGAGTGATGATCATGACTTACTCGCTTTCTTCGAGTGTCTTATTTCCAAGAATATCTTTGCCAGTAGGTGCGTAGTCCCAGTYCACCTCGACTGCAGCGATGTAGTAGCGCCTTGTCTTTTTTCCAGATATTTCGGTTGARKGCTGATTGCATTCATTAACTTTGAATTTGGCCTGCATGCCAGCACTAAAATGGTCGGTAGTTTTACATATCAAAGCCCATTCCCCCTTGTTATCTGGTGTCATTGTTGCTGTTGTGAAGGTTCCTTGAAGGAAAACAATCGGATACTACCATCAAAGGCAAAACAATCATAGGTTGTTTATACACAAAATAAATAATCAACAATTAGTTTTTGTTTTAAGAAGATGATATTACAAATAATTTGGCCATGGTGATGACAAAGTGCCTTCAGAGCAAAAACTGATCCTTTCCTGATRCGACCCGCGCCATATTGGAATTTTGYTGCGTTCATCAAGTTCCCATGTGGCAGTATAAATCGGACAGACGTCAATTTTTGAGCCTCACGTTGTTTTGTAGATACATTATTAATTGTTGTGGAAAAATATATCACAATCTCTAGATTAACAACTAATATATTTTATCAGCCACATCGGTTTTAATGGAAACTTAGGGTCAGTGAAATATACAGAGAGGATTTTGTCTTTCCATTATACTAAAGGCATTCCTTGGCCCACAATCGAATAATTAATCGATCGACTGTTCTAATTGCAATMATTACCTGGTAGAAGACTGACGGTATCTTTCCTGTTGTGATTTTCTACTACAGTCTGACCATAGAATGCTATTGTATGCATATCTACTTCATTACCAAAACCAATAAGATGCCATGATACTTTGTCGAAGGTACACATTTCAAGGCCATCGAGGTTGGCGTACAAACGTCCGTTGATACCATGCATTTTGTTACTTTCCAGATAGTCCTCATTCTCTAAAGCCATAAGAATTCAAAGAAATCTAATTCAGACAACACACTTATTTTTTTTAGGAATATGTGAAGAAATGTCAATTATTGAAGTCTTTTGTGATTGACGGTACCATAATATCGAAAATAGGTTATTATATTGGCGATGTAAACATAAATTTTGGAACGCGGATCGTGCAACGTGCAAAGACGAAGATCGTGTAATGGGGGAAAGTGTAATGTTAACGAAGAGACCTGTGATTCCTGACGGGTCGGTGCAGAACATCCGCTTGTTTTCTTCATGATACCACGACATACTTTCATCGCTGACCATCAACATGAGAATAAATTCCTTGTCGATATTGTTTTGTTCGCCTTCTGCGTTCAAGGTTCCCTTTCTACAAGTCAGCAATGGGCCTATCAGACCTGTGAAAAAACAAGTGAAAAAAATGATATAAAAT